TATGAATTATATGTTGTGTTGAATTAATTAAATTACATAAGCTTACCCTATTTCCTGTTTTGTCTGTTTTGTACTTCCTGTTGTCGTTTCCTGTTGCAATGATCATCCTTTGGATGTGAGCAGAAGGAGAAGAGTTGCTGGAAGAGGCTCTGGAAGAAGTGGAGGTTAAGGCCGAACCATAAACCGTTCGGTAGTTATAGTTACTTAGTTTTGTATATCTGTTCGGTTTAAGATTGTTTTGTTGGAACTGTTTGGTTAAGTATTTAGCTTTGTAAAGTTTAATTTTTGTGGTATTTTGTAAGGTCGTTCGGCCATAAGCGTACCTCTTCTCTTTCTGAACTGAATTGTAATATTGTTAATATGTGAGTATTCTATGATATGGTTTTATACTGTATTTTTGAGAAGTTACAGTAAGATATTTTAAAATTATGAAACTCATTCCCAACAAAACGATTTATATTAAAATTATTTTAATATTAAAATAATTTGATAATGACTAAATTTTAAACTACTATCATTTCTAAAATTTATTTTCTAAGTCTTTATAAATAACAAAATGTCAACATATTATATTAATGTATGTATAACTTTTACGCGAGAATTAAGTTGAATACTTTTAAAAAAAAATATTCAATTAAAAAGTTAAAATGTTAAGAAAAGATTAGAAAAGTTAGTCATAATAAACTTAAATAAAACATTAACCGATACTTTTGATTCTCACAGTCTCACGTTATTTCTTTTGAATACACACTAGTTGACTCGTTTTTATAATAATAATTATATTAAAATTATTCTCATTGTAATTTCTTATCAATTATAATTGATCCTCTAAAATCTTTGACTCCATCAAAATATTTTATATTCTTGTCCTATCTTACAACCATATAACTTTATGTAAAATAAGTTTACTGATTCTTAAGATTATTATTTTAACGTTATATTTAACGTGGTTTTTTATTAGTTGTACATCTAAATTATTTCACACTACCGATACACAAAATTGGTACTCTGAAACTTTTTTTAAGACATGTTTTCGATATATAATTTAAACGTAAGAAAAAGGCACGTGATTTGTTTTCTATCTATAATTTAAACGTACAAGTGACATAATAATATTTTATTATGAAAATAGAAAAACATCGTTAAATATAAAACCTACACTTATTAGAAACTTTTAATTAAAAATTGTTCAAAATTAATTTAGTCAATTGAATATTGTTTTACTGGTAGTTTGTAAATATCTTAGTATATTAGTTAAAAAATTAAGTATTATTAAAATGATTAAGAAAAACATATTTAATTTCGAACAAAAAAGTCATTTAGTATTTGATATAAAAATTAGAAAAAGATATAACAATAAAGAAGTAACATGATTTGAACAAAAAAAGTAAAAGAACATGGATCAAGTTTCTTTTCTTTCTTAAATTCTTTTCATCACGTGAGGAAATAATGTTATTTAATCTTCTTGATTAATGGTAGCAGAACGAATTTCATTTTCAAAATCTGAAATTTTCTTCAGTGGTCGAGACTTTTCGTTAAAGGTTTCGGTAATAACTACTTTGGAATTCGGATATATTTTTTTTCAACGATGAGGATTCATAATTTTTCTTTTAATTGAAATAATATAACTTTTTAATTTATTTTTATAAATTAATTTTTAATTTTTATGGTCAATCATTATTTTCTTAAAACTGATTTGTTTTTAGTTTTTCCTTTTCATGTTTAATTTATGATTACGTGTTATATAGCATATTGTTTTTATAATTCTGTTTTCAAAATTTGTTGATTAGTACAATCGAGATAGTTTTATTATCTAAGAAAAATGTATATGGAATTTTATAATATGGTTAGAGCTATAACTTTTGTGATATTATAAATTGTGAGATAAATCCATTGACTTAATTGATAAGTAAATAAATGAATTTGTTTAGAGTGGTGGTAGGTGTAAGGGGCACAGCAAAGAACTTGAATAATTCCAAGCATTCACACTTAGCTTTAATAATGAAAAATAGAAATAATGTTGTATATTGAGACACGTTTTGTGTATTGTTTTTGTGTACTAGAAATTAGGTGGGTGAGGGAGAAACTATTATATTATAAACTTTATATCTGATGTTCAAACTCTGGTCGGTGATACAGGGCAATCTAAGAGTCATCACAATTTTTTTTTATCTTCCTTTATATTCTTTGTCTATTTTGTAACTACTTTTGTTTAAAATAATATGAATTTAAATTAGGTTTCTAACTATTAAGTTATTTAAAGTTATTTTGTTGAGTGGAATACATACACGTTTTTTACTTTAAAAAATATATATTACCATCTAATTATTGATGATTGTACAGTATGATTGTATCCTTATTCACGTACTAGCCAGTTAACCATTACTCGAATAATTTAATAAGTCATTAGGGAGATCGGTCATGAAAAAATATAATTAATCTTAATACTGATTAATTTAGAGGAAAAATGTGATTAAAAATGTATCAAATTTTATTAAACAAATAATGGCATATATTGTCTCCAAAAACTTATAAAAATTAGATAACTTTTATCCAAATTAGAGCAAAAAGCATGTCATACAGAGTTAATGGTCTTTGCAAAGTCAGCAGACAATCCTTTTAGAATGTATTGTTGACGTGGAGAAGCTTTAACGCTTTCTTTATGAGATTTTAAAACATAAATCTTTCCGAGATCATAGTGTAAAAATGAAGAAAGAAATATCCTCTACATATATGAAATAAACACTTTATAATATTCAAGATGTACGTATCTATCTCTATTATTTGTTGAAATATTAAATTATCAAATGAAAATATGTTTGCAAATGTGTTTTGCATATGAGTCACATAAAACACTTACATTTACCGATTTTTTACGTTTAAACTTAAATTGTTTTATCTTAAAAAAAATATGTAAAAGAATTAAAATTTAAAATGAAACGAAAGCAGTAGAAGACATGGGAGATTTTGAATATACCTGTTGGGTTGATTCCTTAAAGGAAGTAATGAATTTAGAAAATAGATAGTGAGACAATTTCCTTTATAGATAATGTGAAGATGATACTAACACAATGCATTTTACTTGGTGAATTGCATGAAGCAATTATACCCAATCTTCAACCTCAAAAAGTTTGTATATTATTAAAAATTTCTTAGAGTTAAAACAAACAAATTAAATAATGTTTCAATCTCTGCTTACATGCTGTGTTGGTATGCTAAGTTGCAACCTAGTCATGCTTTAAACCATCTCTCATATTTTTTCCTTCAGCTTTCGAAACGATCTATAATTTTTTTAATGCAATTCTACATAAACATTAAAAAAAAATCACAATACCTTATTTATTTCTTAAACATATTCCACATTTATATGTATATATATCATTATTTTACATAATTTCAAACTATAATTATATATTATTCATTTACACACATTTATTTATTTATTTCTAATAGTTTTACAATATTTTGACATACATATGATACTATCTTTTTTACTTTTTTTCTTTTTAAAAATATAAAATTCAATAAATGAATGTAAAAATGTATAATCTATTATTAGTCACAGTGATAATAGAAATTGTGAAGGCGAGTATGATGGGTCATTGCCCCCACACTCGTTTTTATAATTTTCCTTCACCTCACAACATTAAATGCATTGCTAGATTATTATTTTTTTTCATCTTGAATGCTTTTGAGTATCTTAATATTCTTTCCTATCCTTCATTTAACCCAATCTGAAACCATGTTTATCTTCAGGTAAAAAACCCTACAAGTATTTTTTTTTTCTTCCTCGTGCTTTTAATACTTTGTAATCACATTCTTCTTTTAATGTTTTAGAGTAAATATAAGATTCTTTTCTATCCAATATTATCAAGATAATAATAGTATAATAATTATTATAAGTCTTTTATAAATTTATACCCACTACATAATTATTTATTATACTATTCTTTCATTTTATTATTATAAAAATACTATTATTATTATTATTATTAAAATTTAAATCTATAATATTTTTATATATAACATTATGATTTATATTATATATATATATATATATATATATATAAGGGGTTTGCTAACGCGTCTGTTTTTCAGTTGGTACATTTTAGCAATGTGTATCGGGTTTTAGTAGACAAAAATACCCTTATATATCATAGATTCTAAACTTTAAGGTTAAGGGTATTTTAATAATTTTCATTCTCAAAACTAATAAAAAAAAGAAACCCTCCAAACCGTTACTCACCTCTCTCATTCCTCTCAATCATTTTTCTTTATATCATAAATTATAATTACTATTATATAAAGTAACTCAAGTATTTTTACCACACAAATTTTGCTAGCAGCTTTGACGTTTGCTTTTCTTTCTTGTCTTTTACAATAAAATAATTATACTACATTTTTTATTATTTTTTATAAAATATTCAACTGTTCCTATATATATATATAAATTAACCTTAATACATTGTACTGTAAACCTCAAAACAACTATACAAGTAATGACCCTCTTATATTAATTTCAAGTAATTTGTCATCTTCAATAAAGGTATTATAAAGTTCGTATTATAAAGTTCGTAGACAGTTAAACAGTTGATTTAATACATTAGATATTTTTCAGAAAAGAATGTGACTGCCCTACAACATATTCCAACCAAATTAATCTAAACCGGTTACATTACTTTCAGTCGAACATCTGATATGTCACGTCCCAGATTGTGCAAACATTCGTTGAGGTGCCAATAATTAATCAAATATCATCAAAGATAATTAGTTAGATTTAAATGTGATTTTCTTTGACAAATGCCCTTTTAACACATACATTCTAACGGATGTTAAATTATAGTTGAAAAATGTATTTAACAAGGCCTAAATGCTTCAGCTTAATCACGAAAGACGGAGTTACAACCCATGACCACGTTCCTCGAGGCAGTGGAACGTATATTACTTTCATGTGATTAACACATTATTGCTTATTTCGATTTTAAAGTAGAAAAATAAGAGAAGACAAGATGTGTAAACATAATCTAAGAAATAGAAACAATCGTAACTATTGTTTAAGAATCATAATATGCATCAAAAAATCTGAACATACAATCACTCAAATCAAGAAGCTTTGAAAGATCACAAAATTTGACTTAATTTAACTCAACCTTGAAGCATTTGAACAGTATTCTCCGCAAGGTGATTCTACTACTTAATATTGACAAAATTCTCACATTCCCGTAAATGCCTTCTTTGCACCGCTAGAGGATCCAGCTGGAATTACTTTCAACACATTGAACCTCACTGTCTTTGATATTGGCCTACACAGATGACAAAAATAAAGGCATTCGGGTGTGTAAATATAGAAAACAACAATAAGTTCCCACATTCATAACCTAAAAAAGGTTTCTTTCAAATATCTAACCTGCATTGGCCTATAATAACATGATCTCCTTCTTTAACGCGGAAACAAGGAGATATGTGTGCAGGAATATTTGAATGACGCTTTTCATATCTAAATAGAACAAGCAGATAAACAGTTAGATATGTTTGACACAGTAAACAAATAAAATGAATCTTCCGAAGGTATAGAAGGGAGAATACCTCTGGTATTTCTTAATAAAATGAAGATAATTCCTCCTGACAATGATGGTCCTTGTCATCTTAGCGCTGTGACATGTACCAGCCAAGATACGACCCCTGATGGAAACATTGCCCGTGAAAGGGCACTTCTTGTCAATGTAGGTCCCTGTATAGAAAAAAATGGGACTTGATTTAGAGACAAAAGTCACCAAACAGATACAGAGAGGAATAGCCTAAATGTCATAGTCAAGGTGGAGATTATAAATCCTATGATTTGAGCAATAAAACAACGAATCTTAAAATACACAAAAAGGATCAACATCCTCTTGCTAGCTACAGTTTGAGATCATAGATAAAAATACACAAAAATTTGACTCATGTTTAAGATTTATCTTTCAAGATTAAACTTCCCAACAGCACAAAAGTGACATGACAACTGAGTATACAGCAACTATATCTATCTTCATCTGAGATACTGAAAATATAACTCAGATATTATACATAAACCTTACAACTAGGTCATCTTATCCTCTGTTGTGTCTCCAATGTCAGGTTAATCACAAATACTCCTCGCAAGACATAATTATGTTATGGTTGCTTACCTTTTATCCTGAAACTGAAAGGGAAAGCTTGTAAAGCTTATAATATAAAGTCTCCATCACAAGGGGTATGATCCCAATTCATACTCCGTTATGTATATTTAAGTTACTCTCTTACTAGTCTCTTACTGATTTGGGTGTTGAAACACCTTTTACCGGTGGACTTCTTTCATTTCTCACTCATACCTCATTAGAAGAACTTTTTCCTCAATAAAGTTCATAACTTGACCTCTAAAGCCCAAAGATTCCAACACATTATGCATTTGGCAAGAAACATTAAAATTCCAATACGAACAACAACCAGTGTACGTTCACAGACCAATTTTAAATTCTCATGACACACCGTCAATCACATTATTACATACTTAGCAGCAGTCTCACCTCTCCTCGGCAAGCTTGCTTTGGCAACACAATGAAATAAATCATTATAAACTCCAATTTATCAAGAAACAAATATGTATTAGTTTCAACCAAATTTCACCAAATCTACTGTTTCTCGGGCAGTGTAGGACACCAAAATAGATGCATTATCTCCGACTAATAAGGAAAGGGAAGCAGAGTAACAGGTATGACTCTTCATCGGTCATCGGAACGTGTCTGAGGTCTCTAAAACAGAATTTACCAGCAGCCCACAATGTCATATTAATATTTAGGTTTGATTGTACATCATTTTGTTCAACTATTTTCATGTCACAGAATAAAATCCTAGTACTGGCATCACTTTGAAAATCAGAGGAATAAAATGTGTGGAAGTAACTTGAGCATCAAAATTATTGAAATGATGATACAAACGTTCATAAGCCATAACAAGAATAATAATTATATATTATACATAAGAAAAAAGTACAAAAACTTTACCAACGTTAAGTTAAACAGAACATACCTTCAATGGCATCTCTGGGAGTCTTGAATCCAAGCCCAATTGATTTCCAAAAGCGATTCCCACCTTTCCCTGGCCTCTTTCCCTTCCCACCTTTCTTAGAGCTTCAAAATCGATAAACACAGACACCAACAAAATGAAAACATAAATAAACTAAATCAAATAAGGAAATAAAAAGATGCATTGTTCTGTGAATGAGCATACCATAGAAACACTTTCGGTTGCTTCAGAAAAGCCTTCTCTGTCTGCAAACAAAATTAAAAAAGAAATATGAACAGTGAATTAATGCAACACCACGATAGAGGCATTATTATGACGGAAAGTAACTAACCTGTTCAGCCATAGCTAGTACTCTGTTTCAGACGGCGAAGCGTGCAGCCGCAGAGAATAAGAGCCTCAACACTGAAACCCTAATGAGGTGCACTGAAACTATTTTTATAACACCTTTTATTTTTCATCTTTGTACGTGTGGACTTTGATAGATGGGCTAGCCCAAAAATCCTTTTGAGGCCCATCAAATTCCTTACGAGTGGTTCTTTTTGCACCCTATAAATTGTGAAATCATTGCTTTTTTGGTTTAAAATTTTTTCTGAATTGTGTAATTACGAACTTAAAAACGTATACCAAATTATTAAATCTAGAAAAGCAATTTAAAAGTTAAATTTTACTTTTGAATTTAATAATGTGAATTTTTTTTAAGTAGAATTCAAAGACATTTCTTTCGCGATTTTTTTATTCCATTTTGGTGACTTAGGTTTAATGACATTTTTTTAATAATTTTTACATTCCTTTTACCAAATTTAACTTGTTTTATTTCTTGTACCCAGATATAGAAACTTATTTTAATACACAGAACATTTTTAGTAGATCGTAACTTGTCTTGAGCTAGTAAATTTTCATAATATGTTTGACTTTAGATTGATATATTTTGTTGTAGCACTCATTATTGTGTAAAGGATAATATTTTTTCTATCCTTTCTATATTTTTTTAACAACCATTTTAAACAACACAAATTGCTATGGTTAATACATTTTATTAGAATTGTTCTAAGGATGAATTCTTAAGTGGCTTTTGTAACTTTTAGATGCCTCACATCTTGTAATGCATCTTGTATTGAATGTTTATATACCACATATAAGATTATTATTATAACATTTAGTTATGTCTCACTATGCTAGTTGTCTGAAAGTAATAAAAGACATGTAATATCAAAGCATAATAGGTTAGGAAACATCAAAGCAAATAACCAATTTATAAATGAAGTGTTAGTGCATTTTTAGAAAATATTTTGATGTATTATTTTGGGTTGAACTAACCTTTTCAAAATGTTATCCTTTTTTTTATAAATTAAATTTGGTTTATGTTAATGGACCTTATTGGTGTTAATTGTAAATTTTTTACTTCATTTGTGTAATTTGACCAACTTTGAGACTTTATCTTTCACTTTTGACATATTTAGAACTCTAAAACTTGTATGTGGATGCTCTTATGCTTGGTTAAAAGTTAAGAAAGGTTACAAAAATTTATGTGTTATGGGCAAAACTCTTTTTAGACTTTAAGGGATCTAAAAAGGTAATTCAATATTGCGGTTCACGTAAAAGTTTTCTTATCATTTGTAAAATGTAATGTTAAGATTTACTATGATTCTTTTAAATAAAGTGTTGGACTTGAAAAATAAAGTTAACTTTTAAAAAATTGTTTTGATTATGTTTGAAGAGCATAATGTTTAAGATATATTATTTGATATAATATTCATTATATGTGTTTGAATTTGGGGCACAAATAATCACAAAAATTTCAATTTTGTACACAGTCTAATATTTACCTTAACCATAAAACTTGGTTTTGAAATGTTGAAACATGTGAAAAATGGTTTAAGGTTGTTTCAAAATAATTGATTATCAGTTTGATAATAAATTAAAATAAAAAATAGATAAATAAGTTGTTTATAAGTTTCTTAGAACAATTTATTAACACCTTTAATAATAGATAATTTATTAACATCTTTAATAATAGATAATATATTAACACCTTTAATAATAGATAATATATTAACACCTTTAATAATAGATGAATATGTTTTTATGTTTTTATGTTTTTTCAAAAATATTAAAGAACAAAATAACCAATTGAGAAAAATACCGATTAAAACATAAAACATTTATTTAAGACTCATTTTCTTATAGAATAGTATATTAACAACTTAAATAATTGATTAAATTTATTTGAATGTGTTTTTAAACAATTTTTTGAAACTTCTCTAAAGTCTAACATTTGGTTCAATATGAAAACATATATATCACACTTAGATTAAAAACATTTAGAGAGGTCAAACTAAACTATTTTCATTTTCTACGTAATGTGATTAAAAACATTTAGAGAGATCAAATTGAACTATTTTCATTTTCTATAAATGATTAAAAACATTTTAGAGAGTTTAAATTGCACTATTTTCATTTTCTACAAAAGTGCATCCAAGAATTTTGAAGAGATCTTTCAACTTTCTCTTAGTTTGTCAAAACGTTATATTTATACTACATTACATTTTGAGTACTTTAATTGTGCAAGATGTAATCTTTTTATTATTGTGTTACTACATTAACCCCAGATTGTGTCATCTTAAAAGGTTTTCAAGAGTGGTGATAAAAACCAAGAAATAACTAAATATCCAAGTATGTATTATTTAGAAAATTATGCACTAAAATGTTATTGAGCCGATAGCTCTATAGCAACAAAACAACCCCTAAGCACTAGACTCCTATAGAGGATCACTCTCCTCCTAACTGAATCACACCTTCCTACTTTGTATCTCTCCTATAACATAATTCTTCCATCCCCGGATTATTGACACGTCATTTTCCATCCTAACTAATTTCTCACTTTTTCTTTCCCTAACCGTATTTTCTTTCTTTTGACAAAAACATACTATATTTTGGGCCTAATTGTTCCTTCTATAATTGTGAGTGTTTCATCCTACACCTCCAACATCTCATCCTGCACCTCCAAAAGTTCCATTTTTAACCTTCTGACATATGCACCTCCAACTTTTCTAAAAATTTTATTTTTTAATAAATATATTTTTATTTTCTTCTCTCTCTTATTAAAGACACTTTAATAAATACATTTTTATTTTTTTCTCTTTCTTATTAAAGTTCCTCTGCACCATTTTAATAATAATCTAATTTAATTTAAAATTTAAATATTATTTAATATAATTTTATATTTTAATAATTATTAAAATATGATTTATATCATAATAATAGTTATATTAAATATATAAAAATCAAATAACTAAAATAAAAGTAATAATGATAAAAATAAAAAATAAAAATAATAATAAAAATAATATAAAATTTGCTTTAATATATTCAAATATATCAAATTATATTAAAATATTACAATAAATTAAACAGTTATTAAATTTTAAATAAAAACAAAATTTTTAAAAACTTATTTATTGGATACTGTAAAATATGTTAATAGTTTTTTTTTTAAATTTAATAAATATTTAATTTAATTAAAAATAATAATATTATTTATTATATTTTTCTAATTTAATAATTATTAAAATATTATTTATATTTTATAATAATTTTATTAAAAAAATAAAATAAAATAACTAAAATAAAGTTAATAATAATGAAAATAAAAATAGTATTGAAAATCACATAAAAGATATTTAAATATATTATATTATATTAAAATGTTAGTTTAATTAAATAATTATTAAAGTTTAAATAAAAAATAAATTTAAAATTTGTTAATCGGATATAAAAATCCGATAATGTATGAATTGGATATGGATATCCGAATTTTCAAAATTTTGTTTTTTATTTAATTTTAATAATTATTTAATTTAATTTAATAATTTAATATAATTTAACATATTTAAATCTATTAAATGTGATTTTAAATATTATTTTTATTTTTATTATTATTATTATTTTTATTATTATTATTTTTAGTAATTTTAATAAAACTATTATAAAAATATATATTATATTTTAATAATTATTAAAATATAATAAATATATTATAATTTTCAATTAAATTAAATATTTATTAAATTTTAAATAAAAAACTATTAACATATTTTAGGGTATCCAATAAATAAGTTTTTAAAAATTTTGTTTTTATTTAAAATTTAATAACTCTTTAATTTATTATAATATTTTAATATAATTTAATATATTTGAATATATTAAAGCAAATTTTATATTATTGTTATTATTATTTTATTTTTTATTTTTATCATTATTACTTTTATTTTAGTTATTTGATTTTTATATATTTAATATAACTATTATTATGATATAAATCATATTTTAATAATTATTAAAATATAAAATTATATTAAATTATATTTAAATTTTAAATTAAATTAGATTATTATTAAGATGGTGGAGAGGGACTTTAATAAGAAAGAGAAAAAAATAAAAATATATTTATTAAAGTGTCTTTAATAAGAGAAAAGAAAATAAAAATATATTTATTAAAAAATAAAATTTTTAGAAAAGTTGGAGGTGCATATGTCAGAAGGTTAAAAATGAAATTTTTGGAGATGCAGGATGAGATGTTGGAGGTGTAGGATGAAACACTCTATAATTGTTCCTTAGTGAGTAACAGACCCATGTTCACTTCCCACCTTATGATCCTTATTAGGAGTCCTATAAAGTGGTTTCTCAAATTCCTCCTGGTTTGATCAAGAGTTTGACATATCCTTTTAATTGTATTAAGGAGTTGATTTGCTTGTATTTTCTATCTTGTATATGTTTTGCATGTGTTGAATGCTTCCAATAGAGATATAACTAGGATTTTTTACTGTTCAAATGTTGAATAACTAGGATTGAAGGTGATCACTTGTGATATGAACAAATAAAAATGTCTTGTAGTATTTCTTGATTATTATCATGGTTTTTTTAATATTTTATGAGTATTTTTATTATTACTCTTTTAAATAATTATGGAAAAGATAAATATTTTTTATTGATATTTTTATTATTATATTTTTAGATAATTAAAATTTTACTAGATAATCATGGAAATGTAAGTATTTTATCTTTTATTGATATTTTCATTTTTATCCTTTTATATAATTAAGATTTTATTAGATAATTTCAGAAAATATAAGTATTTAGATTTTATTTGTGAAATATTTTGTAGATAAGTGAAAATTCCAAAAGATTAAAGAATATATAAATGATTATCATATCTTACAACTCATTCAAGTACATTTCCCAGTTCCAATTAGTTTGGCCAAATTCACTCAATGAGTGTGCATTGTAAAATTGGGTATTTGAACATGTTTTCACAAGAGTATCAAGAATTTTCAATGTTTTCATGACTAGAAATCACCAAGAGTGTTGGTGAGAGACTCTTAGAGGCTATTTGGGGGTGTTAGGAAGTTTTCCCTTCTCCCTTTTGGGTCTTC